CAGGAACAACTAGCACATATGGGCAAGGGGAACCTTTACCTTTACATCAACCATTTACAAATTCCAATTTTCTTTTTTTTTTTTTACTTTTTATTTTGTTTATGTAAACTTCACATCTTTGCAACACAAATTTCAAATACATTGATGGTCCATTACAAAACCAGCTCAACTAAAGCAGCATCTCTTTTCAGCCAGTGGGATCATCATTGTCTGGTTTGGCCAAGAAGACTACCTACCTGAATCTCTTATAAAGAAGCAAGTGGGGTGGGAACAATTCTAGCAATGAATAGGAATAGATATCCTGTTTAGTATTTTGGACAGTGCCAGCACAAACGTGAGTAGCATGTATTCATCATCTTGTATTTACATCAACTCTGCCTATTTTTTTAAGCTGTACATCAATAGAATGGAGCAGATAAAACATTATTCAGCTTCTTTTCAGACTAGGATTTATAGGCAGCTATAAAAGTGATGTACTGGCAATCAAAACTCAAAGAAAAGAAGCTTTGATGGTCATATTTCTTTTTGTCCCCCCCCCTCACTTCTTCATACTTACATTCACATATGTATGTCTACCACTCTCCTGAAAGGTGACATATTAAAATTTACAATACCAAGAAAATAAATACTAGACCATAATGAAAATGAATCTGTTTACCTTACCACTATTTTTGCACACAGTCAATCTAACCCAGCTGAAATGCCAATTCATTGGAAGTTTTTAGTACGTGCGTGTCTACTATTGAAATTAACAGGACTTGAGAATTCCTAATTTTGGCCCAGAGGTGGTGTTCAGCAGGTTCTGGCCCATTCTGGAGTATCGGTAATGGAAATTTTGAGTAGTTTGGAGAACTGGTAAATACCACCTATGACTGGCCCTGCCCCCGTCTATTCTCTGCTTCCTGAATCCCAGCTGATCGGGAGGAAATGGGGATTTTGCAGTAACCTTTACCTGGAATGGGGAGGAAATGGAGATTTTACAGTATCTTTCCCCTGCCACACCCACCAAGCCATGCCATGCCCACCAAGCTACGCCACAGAACCAGTAGTAAAAAAATTTGAATCCCACCACTGTTTTGGCTCCATTGGTCATCATCATTGTTTTGAAGAATGATGATCTGGCCCACATCAGTATCATCCCAGCTCCTGATGTATCCTTAGCCAAAGTATGGGGTTCAAGCCAGAGGTGGGTTTCTGCTAATTCACCCTGGATCGGGCAAACCGGTAGTGGCAGCAGCAGGAAGCTCTGCCCACCCACCCGGACATGCGCAAAAGTGTCGCGCACGGGCATGCACAAGCAAAACGGTAGTAAAATAATTGAAACCCGCCACTGGTTCAAGCAAAACATTTATGAGAGGACTATTCAAGAGAAAGAAAGCCCTTATGAAGACAAAAGGAATACCAATAAATTGAAGCAACTAGAATTAAAACATAAACAGAACTGTCTGATGTAGTACAAAAGATTTAAGGGATTCATAATCAAGTGGATTTAACTGAAATGTGAAACTTTGAAGAGCAAGAATTTTGCTAGCAATAAACCAGACATGCTTTTGGCTTACCAAGTCTGAAAGGAACAAGAGAAAATTATTATGTTTGAACAGAACCAGGAATATTTTGAATAGTAGAGGACATAAGGGATCAAATTGTTAAAGATTACTATCAATTATATAGTAAACAGACATTAAAGATCAAAAGGAATTTACATACAATATAGCTTACACAATTTACAGATTAACAAAAGGACGCCCGTAACAAATCAGTTTCAAAAGATGAACAAAAAGGAGCAGTGCAAAAATGGAAATTGAACAAATCCCCAAGGCCAGCTGCTTTTTCTGCAATATAATTTTGATATTAAATGAATTAAACTATTACCTCAAATAATGAATGATATTTTTAAAACAATTATCTCAAGTAATGAATGACATTCAACAATATCAAGTACTCCCTCTGTCTTGACAAGTTTTATTTCTTTGATTTATAAACAGGGGATATGATCCATTTTTTTATTGAATATAGATGGTGAGCTTTTTTAATGGCATCATTTGCAAAGAGATTAAGCAGCTTTTTACTGCATTAATACATCCTGATCAGACTGAATTAATCCCAAGAGATAACACTAAATATATTTTGAATGCTATTCATAATATAATATCAGAAAAGCAAGTGGTTACATTTTTTTTCTAGCAATAGGGAAAGCCTTTGATAATTTAGAATGGCCTTGTGTATTTTTGGCCATGAAGATGATGAACTGTAGTTCAAACCTTCTTACATAATTGAGAGCATTTATATATAACTAGATAAGAGTAAATGAACATTTGTCACAAAACAGCAATTTATTATTATTATTATTANTGAACGAGCGAAGAAGTGGGGGTCAGAACAGAGAACTATGTTATCAGATGCAGTGGAGTGGCTAGCATGAAGAGGACTATGATGAGGCAGGGGAAACAAGGTTGTCTCCCCTGCAACATGTCGATGCAGGGACTCCCAGGTACAATTCAGTGTAAATCCCTTCATGGCTTAGGCTCAGGCTTTGGTTACCTACATGACTGCCTTTCTTCTGTGGGCAAGACCAAGTAGAATTGACGTATTCCAGGTCATGGCTATAAAACAATGTCATTTAAAGGGTCCTAGCAGACAGGTCTTCTCTGTAGCTGTGCCTGCCCTTTGGAAAAGCATTTTCTCTGAGGTCCAGATGGCCTTATTCCTGCTGTAGTTTCATAAAGGAATATGCCTCTTTCAGTAGGTTCTGAGACAGGATGAAATGATCAGTTCTCTTAATAGGGCGTCTTGGATTTAAGATGGTTTGAGTTTGGCGTATGGTCTATGTGTTACTATTTTCTTGGTTCTTATTTAATTTAATTTTATGTAAAGATATGCCAGTGAACGAGGCAGCATTCAGATTAATGATTGAATAAAAACAACAATGTTTAAGAGTGGCCTAAAATTGAGTTTGATAGAGATGGAATGGCAAGGGAAGGAAGTCTTCCCACTTGTGTCCCAGATCCTGGCTCCAGCTCGGGCATTTTTACCATACTACACCTCCACGCCCTTTCTGTTGCAGGGTCCTCTGGAAGTGGCACAGGTATTTTTGACTGAGATCCCTGATGACCCCAAGCTGTATCGGCACCACAACAAACTCCGACTTTGCTTCAAAGATTTCACTAAGAGGTAATGCACAAATGCTCCTAAAGTAAAGGCTTGGGTGGGAAAATAAAGTGGGCTCTACCCAAGGAGACCTCTGGGCAAAACTCTCAATATAGATAGCTGTTCTGACGCCCCCACCCTCGGCCCACACCAAAGCACTCCGAGGCAAAGATACTTTACGGAATTTATTCACAGACAGACAGGTCCTTGGCAGCAATCCAGCATGCCAAGCTAACACTACAGTTCTCCAACATTCATTAATGCGTTGACTCCTGCAAAAGGGGCATGTGCACAAGCAGTCCTCTTATAGTCTGGAGAGCAGCCTAATTACCACCAGCTGAGTGCAATTACTTCCTGTAAGGGCGTAATTGTTCCTTACGCCTATTAGCTCTCCGGTGCCGGGCATCTAGGAACAACTCCCTTAGCTCCTCCCCACTGCTGACATCCGGATCACACTCCCTTGTCTCCTCCCCACTGGTCTAAGGCTCAGGCGCCTCCTGGTGGCCAACCAGCCTCTCTGCACCCTGCTCGTAGTCGGAACCCTCTCCAGGGTCCTCCATATCCTCCAGAGCCAACTCATAGGGCCCCTCGCTGTCGGAGTCTGGTGGCAGCTCCAACGGCTCCTGCTGGGCCGCAACATATATCTATATCTATATCAATGCAATACAATGAAGGATGACTATTTTGAAATCAGCCATAAAGTCATTATTTACTGCCCTCTGAGGCTTCACCTGAATATTTTGCAAGGAGAAAAAGATGTTTCTCAGTGACTACAGTCATTCAGAGAAGTGATTACCTAATTTGATCAGTCCTTCCTCTCTCCTTCAGAAACAAGAGGGAGTGCCTGCTGTTCAAAGAAACAAAACAGAACAAGGAAATCTAACCAGGCCCATAAAAGCCCATGAATATGTTTAAAATT